TTTATCTTTAAGTCTTAATATATGTTTCCATAAAAAGCAACTCCTTTGGGTACATCCTTCTAATTCCATTTCAACTCCAAATTCCTTTGAATAATATAACACATTCATTAATGCTTGATCATATCCAAAGAAGAATGATGGAAACCATCTCATTCTTTTACAAAAGAACTCATTGCGACTATCATTTTTTTCATTCCACCCATTCCAAATCCACCATTTAATGAAATTTGTTTATTAATAACACTATTTCTTGTTATTTCATCTCCAAAAAATGATTCTAACCATTGGAAATGATTATGGTTATTTGCTGGAGAACAACAAAAATCTAATGACAGTTCATTTGAAGTAGAATTAGTTGCAAATGGACATTCGCTTGTCCATATTAGATCATTAATACCAAATGTAGCAAATATATCATTAAATATAACAACGTCTCTAGTATCAGAAAATATTACTCTGTCATAATCATTTTGGTATCGTTTAATATATCTTGTAAATGCAATGTATCTAGTAACTACAAAATGTCCAAATGGTATATCACTCATATCAACTACTTCTACATTATATTTTTTCATATCATCATACAGTAAAGGAGTTGGTGATGGCCATAATAATAAAGCAACAATCTTTGCATGAGGAATAGCTTGTCTTGTTATAGAGAGTGTTTTTAAAGCAGCAGTTCTTTGTCTCATATAAATTCCTTTTGTAAAAAACCCAAATGAATATACTAATAAATCTCTTTTATTATTTGGTTTAAATTGAAAGAAATCTTTACATTTTCCTTCATAGTTAAATGTAGCTACATCAATAACGTTATCTTTCCAATTATTTTTTTGAACATTGAAATTATCAAATTTATGAGTTTCTAATTGTTCTGAAGATAGATATAAATATTCTTTATGATTTAATTTATTAAGATTAATTAAAGGAAAAGATATAATAATGAATATGGTAAATACAATTAAAGAAGTTCCTGTAACAATTATTGGTATATATGATTTCGGATATCTTTTCTTATGTTTTTCTGGTATTTTAACAATTCTTTCACAATTCATCTTTT